TTCAAGTTTTTCTTTTGCATCCTTGACGTATTGCTGACGTCATTTTTCTGCGAGGGTCATGTTTGCTCTCAGCAGAGCTCCCTCAGCCTTCAAGCCCTCTCACTCTTTGCACTAATCCACCGGCATTTGGATTCCCCTGTGCGGTTCCACCTGCGCTGGGTGGGAGTGCAGGCTGCTAAAACCACAGCCAATTTCCTCTGCACCTTCCTCTTTTCTTGCCTGGTGTTTATTTTTCAGACGAAAACCACTTGGAGGGGGACATAACCATTTTCGCCCAGTCTCTTAACTCCAGTAGTGTTTTCTTCGAAACGCATGTTTTTAACCAGCTGGAGGGAGAACAGGCTTTAGTCTCATTTGTGTCCCCGAAATATACAGCTACAGGCAAGGCTGCCCAAGCATCACTTTTGGAAGGAGCATTTCAGCTAGGCCAGAAGCGTTTCAGAGCTCACATTAAGACTGGGGGTTGGCACACAAATGCCAAGAGACACCCTCAGCTTCAGCAGACCCAGCTGTGACAGGAGTTCAGAAATCCAGGGTGCAGAAGGCAGAGAAATGCTAACACTTCCCTGGGGAGATGCTGCTTTCTATCCCCTGCTGTTACCTGGCTCTGGGAGTGAAAACATCTAAGCTGCAATTGCCCATCCAAATTTCCAAGCCTTTGGGCCGACCATTGCTACTTCAGATCATCAGTCCATGGAGCAACTCAATAGGCTTAGCCCTTCTCTCCTCACCTGAAACTAGACTTGGAAAGGAAAATCCCTGCAGCTTTCCCTGTGAATTTGCTTCCCATTACGCCATCAACTTTTGAGACCTGATTTTCACTGTGCCCCTTCATTCTCCCCTCCAACTAAGCCTGACTGTGAGCAAGACAGCGTGATTGGATTGCATTTGAAAAAGTCATACATGAAGCAAGTGAAACAAGCTGCCAAAATACCGCCCCGCTTATGGGAAACGAGAGGATTGTGTTTCATTTTGCAGTTCACTCAGCTGAATCCCAAAGCCTCTGGCTGCCTGGAAAGCCACCTCCTTTGCTCAAGCACTTTTTGCTAGTGACAATTTACAAATTCAGAACATTGACATGCTGTAACAAAGCAAACTCCAGCTGCACTCTCACTGTAAAAGATACGGTGCGCCAGTCTCTGCTCTCTGCATGCTCACAAAGTTTCTCTTTCACGGTCTCTTCATCATCAGACACTGGTGACTACTCTGTCAGCTGATGGCAAAGAGTATTTGAAAGAATTTCTTTTACAAACACAAACCCAATAGCTCCTCTGGCATAAACTCCTTGTGACTGCATTCAGGTAGCGCTATGGAGAAAGCTTTTTTTGGGGGAATCAAAAACAAAGCAAAACTTACGTTTAGAATGAGCTGAAGTGGTCTGAATCCATTCAGCAGCAATTCTCCTTTTCTGCACGTTTTTTACTGCCACAAGCAAATCCATGCCCAGTTCGACTTGCTCACACAAGCAGGGGAGAGCTCAGTTTATGTCCTCTCTGCCTGACTTGAACCATCAATACCTAAATTTCCCAGTAACACACTCAGACGGAGCAGGGTACACGAGTGAGATTTTCTACTTCCCCCATCTGGGAGTACTGACTCCAGCAAAATCCTGCTGATTTACACTGATGTAGTTTTTTTCAGCTCTTGAGGGAAAATATCAAGGACAAAAAAAAATTAAAAAGGGAAATAGATAAAAATTTCTTTTTCTAGAGCACAAATATTTCTGCTTTCAATTCTAAACAAGGTCCCAGGGCATTGAGGTTGTTTTTGGTTTCCTTGGTACCAGTACTCAAAAACACGCCAGAAACACCCACTGACCTAAATGAGGTCCTAAGGACGTATCTTGGTTATTATCAGGAAACTGCAAAGATGAACAGGATGTAACCTTCAGAAATCGGGTGGTTTCAGATGGGGGGAAATTGGTGAAGCACAATTATGGTAAACAAAAGCAAAACAAAATAACAGCATCCGTTAAATGGGTACTAAAACCTATTATCCTTGTTTATGATAAAGTTCTTCATGAAGGTAAAGGGATCAAGTGCTTTCTAAACCTAGATACATCCATTTGTAGAGCATCTCTAAGCACCTACACCTAATTGTATCTTCCTGGCAGAAGAATTTGATTTTCATTTCAGAGCTTTGTACCACTCAAGACTAAGCAAATTCTCACTAGTCCTGTTCAAGGTTAGAGGCCAGAACTTTTAGTGAGGGGATAATCCAGTTATTAAGGCTATTAAGGCCTTAGCCTGCAATATAAGAGACCCCAGGTTTAATTCCCTCATCTTTCTAGGCGTCCCATGCCATGTAATTGCTTATAATAATTTATGTAACTGCACTAAGTTGAGTGCTCTGATTTTCCAGAGCTCTTAATATCATGGGTTAGAAAGCACTGACACAGCTGTAAATCAGGGAGCTCAAGTTCACTTTTTGTTGGAGGTAAACACAGTAGTGATTAGAAGACGCTCACATAGTAATAATGCTGTACCTAAAGAAATAATATTAGAAGTCTGTGAGAAAAAAAAAAAAATCTACATATTTAGCAGCTAGAAAATCTACTGTCTTCCTTCATAAAATAGCCATAAGGGAACAAAAAAGCCAGGTTCACCACTCTGTGTTATACTGACACCTAAAAATACTGACCAAACATTATCAGTACACTGCAAATATAGTACCTCAGCAGTGATCACATTTGTTATCATTCAAAAGAAATCAAAGTGTGTGGGGTTTTTCCATTTTAATCCAGAGCCCCAGACAATCTCATGACAGGATGTTTCCTTCCCATTAAAGCCAACATGCTCTGACGCCTCTAAAAGCTCAGCTAAGAAAGGGAGGAGGAAATGAGGAGCTCTTCTACTGAACAGCTCTTGAAGCCGAAAGCAGCTACTATGAGGTTGCAGAAATTCAGGCTGTAGCAAACTATCATCAGTGCTGTAAAACATGATGCAAAAGTCACCTCCAGGTAGCAGTCACTCAGGGAACAGAAACACTAAAGAACTGAAGGTCTAGTAAAAATATCAATTGTAACCTCCCACTAGTTAATCACAAGGCTCTTGGTTAATGCCCTAAATTTCAGCCTTTTCCCCAAAGCTTCTCTCGAGCAACACACGTGCAGTTCAGAGACGCAGTTTTGCTTTCATTTGGGTTTCACCAGCAACATGTGATACAGCAGACAAGCAGAGCGGCTGGAGAGGAGACCTTTTTCAGGCAAGTAATGAGCAATTGCTAAGTTGACTGTGCAGTTTTGGAGACGCTGGGTCAATCTCAATTTAAATTCTTAGCTCCCTCCTCAATTCTGGCCCTCTTTCTCCAGTGCCTCTCATCATGCTGCTTGCCTGTTAATCACAGAAGGGATCCGCTGTTAAAAGTTGGGCTCTGAACATGGGCTAGAGCAGCCTGGGGTGACTGCAGCTTGTGCTGGCTGGCTGGTTCCTATCAGAATTAGGAAAATAAGCATTTCATCAAGAAGCTAAAACACAAATCATATTTTATACCCTGAAATTCCTGTTATGATGAGCATCTATCTGGCGACATTTTAACTCCGTCTCATACTTATGCAAGATACCTGCAACAAATCTACTCTGCTATTACTTGTCACTGCAGAAGATGAATTCGCTCAGGCATTCAAGAGTCCCAATCGAACAACATGAACGCTACTCCAGAAGCTGCAATGAGTTTGAACGTCACATTTTTTTTTAATTTTAAATATGTTGCAGGTTATTTCCAAAACCCAAGAGGGCCTTCAGCATGACAAACAATTACTCCTGAGCACAATCTGTGATTTCAAAGCGCAACCCTTTGCCTCCTCAAGAAGTGGATTTTATTCTCAGTTGATTTCTGTGGAATTTATTAGATGCATTTTCAGCTACAGAAAGTAGTTGCTCAGTTCATATCCAACAGAAACCTTTCAGCAGAAAACTTCCAGATTCTCACTACTAAAGATCTGATGAAAAGAAACTCTCCTCTTTCCTTTAAATGGTCCCATCATTTGTTAAACCATCTCTTTCAGTCAGTGCTCCACAAGTTATTATAAATTACCATCTTACCCAACTATTTCTTAGATCCTCTATTACCACAATATTTAGTAATATCCAGTTTTAAATGCATCTTTGTTCACAGTGCTTTTGCAAGGAAAGGAAATACTCTGATCCTTCTCTCTCTGAAGGGTGCTTAGAGATACTAAGTGATTTGATGAGGGGCAGGAAGAAGTCAGTAGCAGAACAGCCAGGTTAGGTCTCCTGATTCCTAGGTTAACACCCTCATCATTTAATCACCTTTTGATTCGTTATGGTAAAGCTAGACAGTTCCGGTGCAGTAGGCACTGTTTGTACACACACAGCCTGAAATCTTAAAAAGTTTCATTTCCATGTCACAGGCAAAGATGTGAGGCATGTGGATAAGAGAGCTTCTGGGAAAATTCAGGAATACAAGGTAGAACAAGGACTAAGTGTAGCCAGCAACAGCTTTCCTCAAACTGTTTGCTGTACAGCCCCATTTTTTTTTCTCCCAAACACACACACACAAAAAAATCAAAAACCTGTCTTTGTATGCAGGTAGACAGCAATCCCTGGGGGATGGCTGGTATTACCAACAGTCAGAACGAAGGATTATCATGAAGACTTCACTTCTTCTCCACTCCAGTAGCATGGAAATCATATGGTCACTACTGATTAAATACTGTGTGTACCTGCTGCTCTGTTCTGGAAGATATCCATATGTTGTAAATCATTAAGTCAGCAGGGGAATGCCCAGACACACAGACATGCATACACTTTGCCTACCAAGTTGGCTGCTGATCGGTATAAAGGACATAACTATGCAAACACACCTAAGCGTGGCAGGATTTTTCTTTTTGTTTACCCTTTAATCCAAGATAAGAAAAGGGTCAGGGTCAGGGTAACCGCAATTTCTGAGTGCCCATACCCCAGTCCTGTTTTCTTTTGCTAGATTTAGGCTGAAAAAAAGCCAGGACAGAGAGCACGCAAACAACCAAAGGAACTCACTGCTTTGAGGATTGCTACTGCGTCCTGCTGGAGCCACGTTGGGTAGACGACTTCGTCATTCAGAATGGCCTCGAAGAGATCGTCCTCGTTCTCCGCCTCGAAGGGTGCGTGGCCACACAGCATCTCATACAGCAGCACGCCCATGGCCCACCAGTCCACGTCAGGGCCGTACAGCATCTCCTGCAGGATCTGAAGAAGGGATGGGAAAGAAGTATCAACCCTGAAGCTTCTTAAACTGAGCAGGGGAGGAAAAAGGATTTGGAAACATTAACGCAGTTCTCACTATGTCCTAACAGCGCTCTCTGCTAGGCTGGCTGTATGTCCAGGAACATACAGGTGATCTCAAGCTGGGAACCCCCAGATCAGCGCAAAGGTAAATCAGATGCATTAAACAAGGGCTGAACTAGCTTGGCTGCTCACAGGGTCACCTAGGAAACAAGCCCTTAGAAATGATGCTAGGGCTTAGCAGGAGGAGAAGGGGCATTTCAGCAAAACTGGCTGAGCCCCAGAAGCGGCAGAGCAGCCATGTGTGTGGGTTGACATCACCTTTTCCTTGCCACTGGGAAGGAAATACTTACCCGGCTCCAATGGCAAGGCTTTCAGCTGGAGAGGGGAAGGAGCACGAGTGTGTGAGAAAGGCACAAACACCAACCACAGACAAAAATTCAATTGTGTTGAAGAAGGATCTGAAACCCTGTCAGAACATCTGGCAGCATCTGGAGGGCAGCTGTTCCTTAAAGAGGTGTTTATTAATTTTCTAGTGAGATTGGGGAACGACAGGGAACGGGAGGAGGTAGAAAAGGGACCTGGGTAACGAGGGAGAATTCAATCTCCTTTCAAATCAAACTGGGTTGGTATCTCTATGTGCCCCTCTCAAGATTTTTGCAGCTGTGCCTCCATTTTTCACCTCACGTTTCCTAAAGAAAAATATAGGCTTATCTTGGTGCCTACAGCAGCCTGAAGGTTTAGTCATGCTTTGCTTGCACAAGGGACTGATAATATGAGCATATGTCTAGAACGAAACCTTGCACCCGGCAGTCAAATAAGGTGTAGCTCAAGACCCCAGAGAGTACACCTGCTGTTCCAAAGCTAACCTACACTTTTCATATTGTAACCAAGTTTTCCTGGCCAAAGAAAGGTTTCCTATACCTCCGGAGCGATGTAGTCTGGTGTACCACAGAAGGTGGCTGTGGTAATGCCATTGTGAATGCCCTCTTTGCACATTCCAAAGTCTGCCAGCTTGCAGTGACCCTCGTAGTCCAGCAGCACGTTGTCCAACTTCAAGTCCCTGCAACGAGAATCGTTCACCGAGTCGCTACGTGCTTGGAGCAGCCCCAGCACAAATGGAGGCAGCGTCCCAGGCCTCAGAAGCTTAACCTGTAAACTGGACAAGCCTCATCATCATAAAAAAATAAACAGAAGTCACGCAGGAGGGGCTTTCTTTTGCTTCATCTCTTACAAAAGGGAGGGAGGAACAAACATCATCCTTCCGAACTGCATTTAATATGGGCAGGTGCTATACGGGTTCACCTACATGGCTTTCCAAACACACCACAAGCCTGGCTGGCAGAGCTCCTGCTCATTTAGCTCTGGGACTCACTGGAGCAGAGGTTGCCAGAGCTGTCAAATTGCGTAACGATGTTATGATGCAGCAAAACGCACCGCACGGGACGTGCTCTGATTCAGCAAAGCATCGCGCTGGGAGCACACAGCTGAAGCCGGGGAGGTGTGCAAGGCCTCTTCAGAGAGGCAGCAGATCCTCTCCTGAGGTGTGGGAGGTTAAGTCCCAGACCTCCCTGTATCGGGGCAAGCCTGACTGATAAACCCCACCTGGAGTGTTATCCAAGCTGAGAAGAAAAGAAACTCCCTGCGGACACCACGCCACATGGGCAGGGGGAATCTTCGGCCAGCATGGGATGCCTCCATCATAAAGCAAAGTCTTAAAGTGCTCCCAGATGTATCGATTCCACCAGGACTGCGCTAATGTAAGAAGTGAATGTCCCCCATAGTGCTCATTGGGGTGGGGAACTCCTTGTCACTGTCACAAGAGACCTGCAGCCAAACAAGCTGCAGAAAGGCACATTTTCCAATACGTCACCTCTAACAGCCTGGGAGCTCCTCATCAAAAGCAGAGCTGCCAAAATGACAGAGCCCTAACACAGCTTATCAGCTTGCCTGACGTTGAGATTGCCTGAGGGAATAGCCTGCAGCCAGAAGCGCTGTCAGGAACATGACCAGAAAGCACGGGGTCATCTGCAGACTTAGGCAATGCCTTCCTAAAAATACATACCAGCCCATAGCACCTCTGCTTTTCAGCTGCCAGACAAGCTCTAGGCATCGTCACAGATGGAGGAAAGGAGCTATGATGGGAGCTCTGTGCAGTACAAATAGGTCACAGTTCGTTTTCTCAGGTATTGGCCCAAGAGTTGCACAGAGCCCTTACAGCAGCTCTGAGGCAGGGAAGTGTTACCATCGCCATTTTACTGAGATGGATGACACATTATAGACCTAGACAAAGCCACTTGCAAAATCATTCAGATGCCCAGATAAGGATCAAATAACTAAATACATTTGAGGGTCTCAAGGCCCCATGAAATCCATGCTGGAACTTAATCCATTTTGCCCTCTGGTTGGACATCTATTTCCCTGGGAAGGGGGAGCAATAGGGAGGGTGGTAACATAGGTAATGGCATCTCCATATCAATATGAACACCTATGGGTGAGCTGAAATCTGAATCCAGCTTGATCCTGTTCATCCTCCATCTACAATCTTAAAGTGAAAATCAGGTGGTCAATTGTTCTGTTGTGCATTGGTATTTCTACAGCCCACACTACCACCAGAAGCCTCTCTGGAGCTTGAGAGAGCTCTCCCTCAACTTCACTGTTGCAGTGGAAAGATCAATGACGCACTGTTCTAGGCAATCAGAGCCACATTCTGTCCTAAAGAGATAAGAAAAAGTATTGTTAGCCTCTTTTGAATGGATGGGAAAGCGAGGAGTAGAGGTTAAGAAATTTGCCCGTGTCCCCCAGAGCCAAGACTGAACACCAGCTTCCTGAATTCCAGCTCCGGGTCTTAATCCCAAGATCATACATCCGCTCTCTTCAACTTTAACAAGGCATGGCAACACAAGCCAGCAAAAAGCCCTCTGCAATGATGCTGCCCTTCCCAGCAGGCCCACCAGTTATCCGGTGGCCAGTGAAATTTGGATGCCAAGGACATGCCTGTCTTATGCTGCAGTGTTTGCTCTGGGAGAGATGCTCAGCAGAAGACACTTATTTTTCCTCTTCTGAGGACCAAAAATGGCTGCTAAGGCATGTGGGCAAAGGCTTGTCCTGGAAAGGCTTTAGGCGAGCACAGTGAGAGGTATTGTACGTGCTCGCCCATGACACTACGCCTTCAGCAGCAGTTTACAGCCAAGGCTCCTGTTGCTCTTCCCTGTGGTTCCTGGCAGAGCAGGGAAGCCCTCCAAGCATCAAGGCAGGCCTTGTTTCCAGGAATCTGCAATGACGTGGTTGAAACACGCAGTTTATTCTTGGGTCAGTTTTAAATGAAGCAAATACCTTTTCGGTCCTGGGCAGGCCTGACTGTTGGGGGGTGCCCCTAAAGGTGCGACTGGAAGGGGAATTTTGGTGAACCTGCTTAGAGATCCCCCTTCCAAACCTCCCCTCACTCCCCAAAACATTCGCCATGTCCTGGCATGCTTTGGGAATACCTCAAAATACACTTTCTTATATCGGAAGTACATTGAGTGAGCAGGTTACAGTCCCTTATGGAGAGCCTGAGAAGCAGAGGCAAGACACAGCCACGAGGCAGGGCCAGCTCTACAGACCAGATCACCAGCCACTGCCACTTCTCAGCCTCTGCCCCACATGACATGCTGCAGAAAGCCCAAAATCCCTGCTAGCTGTATAATGCATGATGCTCGTCATCAAGATGGCAGGAGCTTCTGCAGGTGCAAGAGCACTCCGCGCTTGCTGCGTCCTCCCAGAGAGCCTCTGTATATGTAACAGCCATTAAATTTAAACTATCTGCCTCTTGCTGAGCGAGTACAGTTTTAACCACCCAAGGCAAACTTCCAGCCCTTTCGCTTCTCTACATTGCACATTAAACCCATTAAGAGCGCCTGTTGCCTCCTCCTGCAGTTGGGATACCAGCTTCTCCTGACTTCTTTCCAGCAACGTGAAATCCAAAATTTGCTTTTGCTATTTTCACATAACCTGTAACGTGACATTAATCTCCTCTCACTTGCTCAGGTGCTCTGGCTACATGGACATCATTTTCGAAGAGGACCTCCTGTGTCCAAACAAGACTTCTCAATGCTCTTCACTTGGCAAGGCCACAGAAGATGGCCCCACGCGTCCCCCTTGGAGCAGGTCTCGTGAGCCAGCACAGCGGCAGGCTCAGCCATGTGGCTCCTCTCCGGCAGCCCCATAGGAATAATTCTCTGGGGAAGTCATGGTTTGGTCTTGTGTTTGAGCATTTGTCTCAAGCGATTCCAGCAGTCGTAAGCTCGGTACTCACTGTTCAACGTTGACAGCTCTCCCTGCGCGTCGTACCCCGTGAACCAGCACAGCCACTTGAGAGGAAAAACACTGACATTTTCTGAGATTTACAAGGAGCTCTTCATTTTTGCAGCAAGGATTCCGGGAAGCTGATGAAACTGGAAGTCATCCAACTCAGAAAGCCCAAATCTACCTCATTTCCTTAATACTTGCATTTTCCATTCAATATTTTTAGCAGTTCGATGAAGCAATAACAGCAGAGAGGTTTTCTGAGGGCTGCATTTCTAAGGTCCTGCTGAGGTTCTGCCTTTCACTGGCAAACCTCCACTGGAAAACAGGCTTCATCCCGACTCAAAAAGGCAGCCTTTGTCCTCGCAGGCAGCTGCGGCACATTGGCTTAACGGCCTCCGTTTAGTCTAGACCCAGAAGAAATGACAAAATGAGCTGCTTCAGCGTCACTCGCTGGAAGAGGTGTTCTTTATACATCTGCCACTTGAGTTTAACATTCGCAAAAAAAACCAAAATTACAACTGCAGATGATCCATTCCTTTTCTGAAGCATCTGTCAAATGCAATTTCCCTGCACCAGGGAGTTTTGCCAGTGAATAGGTGTTATACACGTCCCTGCCACTTGCTCTGCTCAGATATCTCACTCGTGATGCAGAAACTATACTTGAAAGGATGAGGTTTGGGGTTTTTTTCCCTCTTTTGGTTTCACCACCCTGTGTTGTAAGGGCTGTGCATGTAGTAAAGATCATCTTTGCAGGAGTAGTGGTGACAGAAACTAGCTTCCAGTTTCAATGCCTCGGTTCGAGGTTCTCCCAGGTTTGGTAATTCCAAAGGTCCAGTTTAAAGCTCATAAAAGCCTGCTGTTCCCATCTCAATGCAAATCATTTAGTCATGAAAGATTTAGGTACAGAGCAATGGGAGCTAGCCACAAACATAGGTGCGAGTAGTGTAATACTCCAGCCAAATGTTAAAAAAAAAATATATATATTATATACACACAATTAAAAATAAAATCCCCAAACCTGGAATTAGCTAAATTAATAATTTTGGCATTTCTGAAAGAGAAAATTTTACTTTTTCAAGTCTTCAGCATGTAAGACCATTTAGACACTCTTTTGGAAACACCTTTGGGTTGAGCAAATGTACATTCAAACCCCCTGTGCAAGCAGGGAGTAGATTTTGATTTTTCTCCACCTCTTCTGCTGAAGTAATTTTATTTCATAGAAATACTGAAATCTCCATCACGATGGAGAAAAATGTGTTTCTATTGCCTGCTCTGGTAGCCAAAGCAATACGTGTTTCCAACTCCTGCTCCAGTGAAATTGTAATTATTTTTTGCAACATGAAGCAACTTCAACAGAGGAGAACGAAAGACGTACAACCTGCGGAATAGCACAGTTGGTAAGATACTTATTGAAGAGGTACAATTTTTCAAGTTGGAGGACTTGCTCCAAATACAGCGGACACCAGATGTAAACCAATAATTTGATTAAATAAGGAGGAGAACAGATGGAGGTCTCAGTTTTATGTAAAGCCCTAAATACTCACGTGAAGCTAATATAGCTTCTCATTTTCTTTTGTATTCATTAATAACACCCAAACTGAAATATTTTATTTTACTTGAAACCAACACTCTCTTGAGTTGCAAAAAAAATATTGTTGCCTTAAAAAAGCCCTAAAAATTATTTTGGGCCCACAAAATCTGAAACAATTTTCTATCTTTCTTTCCACACCAAATTTTGGAGACTCAGTTACCAAACTCAATGCAAATAATTAT